AATATTACCTTTTCGGAAATCTGCTAAAGCTTCTTCGCGCTGTTTTTGTACGCGATCTCTGCAATGTATGTTTTTCTCTTTACAAAAAACACTTAATATTGTTTTAAAAAATTCTTATTTAAGATAACTGCATTTATTTAACAAAAAAATCACTGCGCATCCCGAAGAGATTACGTCGATGGAAATTTTTTAAGCTTCGTAAATTTATTACAAATACAAGTTAGTGAAAATGAAGAGTACACAGGAATATGATTATAGATACATCTCTTAAACTTTATCATAACCTCGATTTAAATATTAATCTAAAGACATTCTAATTATTGGTCCGGAACATTACCCGCTAATACTACTCGATCGTATATTTTTCTGAACAAGATTTAAAGCTATAATATCGGCCATCTGTTTCCGTTGAACAAAAACCAAAGTACGTGATACATCACCATTACTCGCTTTATCTTCTTCTAATAACTGTATCAGCTTGTCAAATTTATTTTCGGATGTAACCTGCAACAACAAAAGTCATTCTCATAAAAGCCTACTGATGAAACCATATTACATTTCCCGGACAGCCAAAAGAAGCTTAGAAAAAGAATAAAATATCCCCAACGAATTTAAACAACCCAAGACAATAAACAACATAATGAAATTTTCACCAACAGTAAAAGATGTCATCACTTCAGTGATGTTTAAAATAGATCAATTTAGCTAACCTCAATAAAATTCTGTTCAACGAGAGGATTAGCCGCAGCAACTTTCCCATTTGATACAAATGCATGGTCTTCTTTCAAAACTTGTGCCGCTAACTCTTGTACTTCTTGTGTAAACGTAGCACTAAATAGTAAAGTTTGTCGGTCCCTTACCTATAAAATATCTTTTAAATTTTAAAAACGATAAAACTTCTTCTGCAACTTCCAGAAAATCCAATCCACATTCAACACATGCTGGAATAAATCAAATAATTATTCTTAAGCAATGTTATATTTCAAATCCCATATTTCTATGAAGAAACTTCATTAAAACAGAGTGCACAAAATTACCGATGGAAAACTGGGACTGTGAATGATGTTCATAATATCTGTTTGAAAAGCATCTTGACCAAGCATACGATCGGCTTCATCCAGCACAAAAAAACGGATATTGTGCAACCTCACCTAAATTTTCTCTAAGTAATATCACCAATAAGAACATGCGACTGAAGTCTTTTTACTTCAGAAAAAATATTCCTACCAGATATTTCGCAAAATATTCTCATATTGGCTAATAAAATTATGTCTGAAATTAGAATTTTCGCTGAAATGTTGGAAATATAGCACCATACAAATTATGCATAAATCTTACGCAATCAATCCCACAGTGGTACTGTTTTACAAAATCTTATTAAATTGCCATCGTAATAACTGATGTGCTTGCTCTATTAGTAAGTATAATATTATTCAATCCTAATTTTCACATTCCAACAAAATGCTCAGGTTTTTTTTGCAAAATATTGTTGTGACAAAAATGAAAATTCCAATAATTAATTCATTTGATTCAAACTGGTACCTTCCTCTTCTCCACGAAATCTATTAATCTTCCCATCGTCGCAAATAGCATATTACATCCCCTTTCTAGTTCCATTAAATTCTCCACATACTTGTATTGACCATATGCTTTCGCCACTGTCACACCAGTCCCTGAAAGTTACACCGTAGAAGTAAGCAAACTTTTCTTTTCACATGCAGAAAGTTGATCGCAATAAACATATATCTGTAGCCTTCATCCACTTTCATTTGCCAAGATTTTGGCAAATGAAAGTGGATGAAGGCTACAGATAAGCAGCAGCTAAATCTGAGTTAGTGAATATCAAAGCAGCTACGTCACTTATAACTAGAAATACTTTTTAAAAGCATTTTGACAATACAACGGTAAATGATCTAACAATCCGAAAACATATAGACATTTAAACACTCTTGCCTAACTGGATATTGCCCGATGATTTTTGAAGAAATTTACATGAAAGTTACATAACGATAAATGTTAGATTAAATTCAAAGATTATTCGCAGCAAATGGTACCTGAAATTTCAAAATTTTTCACAATTAAGATCATACTACTGCTTTCAAGGTTTTGTTTACTGCAAATTATCGACTATATAAATTATGCAAAGAACTATACCATCAGCAAATTTTCTAGTTTGATTGTATAGCTGTCCGACCAATTCACGTGTTGGTGCCAGTATCAAAGCAATTGGAGCACATTTTGAATCAGCCGGTTCACCATTATTCATGATATAATTGATAATTGGTAAAACAAATGCGGCTGTTTTTCCACTACCCGTTTCGGCATGCCCAACCATATCAAAGCCTTAAGAAAACATACTCGTCCACTAATAGAATTCAGACTGAACAAATAATATATCAAAACATCTTGGCAGTCAAAATAAATTTCACATATTTTTTTCTATATGTGTAGATATATTTATTAACGTGCAAGTAAAATGAAGTGATTCGAGATTCGATTCAAGTCAATTAAAAGTTTGATATTTCAAATTCATTGCACCAACCATTCTGTATAAGTGGAATGACAGCAGCCTGAATATTCCGCGGTTTTGAGTAAAATGATTTCTTGATAATATTGCGCAACAACAAATCTCCAAAACCTGCGTTTTTCCAATTTCTAAAATTCAAAGTAACCAATCAGGAGTTTCATATTAAATGTGATTGTTGCACCACCATTCGCCGGTGCTCTAAAGCTTATGAATCCCATCATAAACTTACTCTAATAGTAATTTTTGCATTCGTGGAACTCCTGTTATCGTGATTTCTTGATCCAAATCACCTATCTGTAATCAAAATTCTAGGATAAAGGAGCACTGTAAAATATCATGCTCAATAATCCTAATTAGATATCTAAAAAGTACCAACAAAACCCCAATTAATAGTCAACTAAGGATGCATTGATCTAAGAGCTGAAAGCTGAAGTTTTATTCATCCATCTCTAAAGATAAATCCCACTCATCTTTCTTTTCCGCCTGATAACTAGAGAAATAAAATCCTGCTTCATTTGAAAAACAAACAGCGACCTCATATTTTGCATTCTCAGCATCCTCTTTATACATTTCTTCGATAGATCGATCTTCTGGAATATGAGATGGCAAACGAGGAGATCCAGCTGAAACAAAATCTATAAAGTGATTATGAACCAAATTTCAACTAATTAAAAGTTTACATCTAATAGCGTACCTCCATTTTCGGCAACGCGATCGCCAAAACTAGCTCTACCAGCTAACTAAAAACAATTCTTTATTAAAATAAATTATGGAAAAAAACTGAAAAGCAATGGTAACCTAAAAATTTTTTTTTCTGTAAAGTGAGACAACGTGCAAAGCAAAATCCATTTACCTTCATCCTCATCTTTCCCTGAAGTCCATTTTATCTGTTCCAAATACTTTGCTGATATCAGCCATTTGATGGTTATTTAGCTACTTAGACAAAAATATCACAAATATGCTAAAGTGCTACAGCAACAAGCAAAATGAAAATTTTTGGAACTAAAGTCAAAATAACTTACGTTCGAATCCCACAAACGATTTCCTATAAAATATCATATCAGGATGGATATAAATTCATAGAACACAGAAACAATTTGTCGGTAAGAGGTTAAAAAAAAATTGAAATAGTAACTAAAGTTTTATTGAAAACTCAGAATATCCTTCATTGGCATTACTTTGGGACAATTCAAAATCATATTTGATAGTGCCCTCAAAACATTCACCGTTACCAACACGTTAACTTGATAAATAATCCAGATTTTTTTATAGCTAACTAAACATAAATATTCCGCCCCATTACTCTAGACAAATAATTAAATCAATAATGAGTTAAAGGGCAAATCATACCATACATTCTTCGCCCATTACTTTGTCCAACACCCCAATCACTGTTGAAATTACTACGACCAAATCCCATTCTTCCTGAAACTACTTTCAATCACGGAAGAAATTTTATTAAATGAATTTATTGAAACCATGGAAAGAAAGCTACCAAAATATTTCGAGATATGGGCATCTAAAATATTCAGTTTGTGTAGTTTCACGATGAGAAACGGTGATCTTTGTATTCAGTTATAAAATACAAACTGAAGCTTATGAGATGCAGAATATGTAATTTAACAAAAATTTAATTTTATCGAGAAAATTCAAAACATATTTTAATTGAGCAGTACCTTCACTAGTGAAGCCACTATTAAAACTGTCTCCAGTGCCGAAAGAAGTTTCTTTAGTATCAATTCTGCTTTCGAAACCACTATTATTATAGTCATTACCAAAGCTATGAGTACCGCGGCCACCTCGCCCACTTGAAAATCCTCTGCGCTTGTTACCGAATTTACCGAAGCTTTCATTTCCGTCACTGTCAAAATCATCCGTCACAGCACGGAATCGGCGGTCGTAATTACTGGAGAAAGCGCGACTTCCTCTGAATCCACGGTTGCGATTTGTACCTCCAAAGTTATTAGCAGAACCGAAACCACCAAAGCCACTACCGCGACCACCAAGAAAACCGTCAGTGTGATCGACAGCACCAAAATTATCACCATCATCCAAATTACTCCCAGCATCGAAACAACTACCACGACCGCCAGCTCTCGAAGATCCTCTCTTCTCACTATTACCTGGTAAGAAACCACTACCCCTACTACCGTACCCGGATGAAAATCCACCACGCCGTTCAGTTGAGAATCCGGAAGAAAACTCGCTTCCACGATCGCATGAATTTCTATTGTTATCGTTCATGTGATCACCAGAAAAACGACCACCATGACTTCCCCTTGCAAAAACGCGGCCACCGCGGCTACCAACATCACCTTCATCACTGAATGCGCTCGAGAAACCTGAATCTAAATTAAAAATTTAAAATCTATTGTGCAACCGTCCATCATCTATAACATTAACTTCTCGAAACCATTTCCCTTAATCTTAATCAATATGGAATATAATCAAATTATACAAAGTATGAGTGTTAAAATAATTGAAAAAGAAGAAATAAGAGCAGATAACGAGCGAGGGACAATGAATATTTTGTTGTTATTATTTTGATTATGACTTCTAAAATGCTGCACGCTATCCTCTTGATTATTACGATTATATCCAACAAAATCACTTCCTTCTAAAATATCGTTATTTGCTATGTACTACAATTTCAGCAAACAGAATTTATGTTATATATGATTGATCAGAATGAAAAAATTTCTGTTGTATGATTGGTCAGAATGAAAATAGGTTATCATAAATAACAAATAATCATTTAACCCACTGCCCAAAAGAGCGCTATTAAAGAGGTTGACTGAAATCATATAGGCCTGAAAATCTATACCACTATGAATTATAAAAAATACACGCTTATTTCAAAGGTACTCATCGAAAGAATACTGGAGTTATAGAAATATTAAAGTAATTCAAGATTCTCAACAAATTAATAGTGCTTTTGAGCTTCTTGGCTAATCATGTCATTTCTGCCTAAATCTACCTTAAAACATACTTGCTGAAAATTGGCAGAACTTACTTGAAGAATTACCCCGACGAACCGCAAAAGAATTTCCCCTATCATTATTCCTATTACGATTTTCTTCAACACTATCATCGACCTGCAAAATCATAAATCGTTTAAATTTAAATCGCGTTTAAATTTTAAGCATAATTTATCCTATTAATAGTTCTTAATGCCACAACTTTTCCTTTACTATTTCTCATAAAGCTACCGTTACATGCTAGATAACTGTAAGATCGATCACAATTAAATGTTCATAAATAATTGAACAACACAATTTGCGTATCGTACCAATCCCGTTTAATTCTGCATAGTGAACGCATAAAAGTAAAATATAGAACTGATATATCTTTAAATGTTAAAAAAATTATAATAACCACCGTCCACTGCATAAATTTTATAAACATTAAATGACAAGATACCCGAGCAAAATGTGATCCTGAAAAGTATGAACTGTCAGCTCTCTGCTCAATGATTTTCCTGAAATTCTAGAAAAATTAATAAAATTTATTTTCCTTGCAAAAAATAATTCCATTACAATAAAATAAATAAAAACTATCGATAAAATTATCAACAGAAGAAAACCAGAATAAAAATGTTTCATTTTTAAGAAAAAAAAAGAACTGAAAACAAACCAAACGAAGTAATTTAAATTAGAAACCCAGACAAGCAGTAAAATAGCTTATGCATATGCAAAGCTGTACATTATTTGTTTGACTATTGACAATATGTTAAAAAATATCGCGTACTGTAGTGCAGAGTGATTTACAAATCATCTATTGGATATCCAACAGAACATTATAGGTTTGAAATGAGCGAGGCCGTTTCTAATTTCTAATCTTTTTTAAATAGGTATGACTAGTATTTTACACGTTACAATGTATTACTGCTGCCACAAAATTATAAATATTACACCCGAAGATTAAAATATTGCCAATTTGAATTCGATCTTTTTCGTTACATCCATATTTATAATTTAATCAAATTCGAAACTAAGAAACAAAGGAAAACATACCCTCGTCCAAATCCACCACTCATTGCAAAATACAGATGTTGAAGCAACTGATGATGCCTTTTCTGTAGTGTGAACTGGAAAAAAGCAGCACTTTTTACGAACTGTTAAAAATAAATCTATTCTCAACGTGACTCATTTTACAATATTAAGTTCATGCACCAATACTTTCATGTCAATATGAAGTAAAAAAATATATTTCGGGACTGGCAGAAATTTTAAAAGTGCTATTTTTATAGGACCTTTGTTGTTCGCTACATATAGAATACTAAGAAAAAAAATATACTAACAAAAAATATACTTACAAAATATACTTACACGTAAATGACAAATTTCAGGTATAATCTTACATTGTATATCAGTTAAGATTTGTGTGAATGATATAAATATTAGAGGAACAGCATAAATTCGAACGCTTCTTGTGTATTCATATAACTCAAATGTATTCATCATTTCATCTCCAAATAAAAAACATGTTTTTTCAAATATAATAAAAATATTACTCTAATAAAAATTTGATTAAATTGATATTTAATGTAACAAATATAGTTAACTATGAGTAACTAAATAATAGATGTCATACTAATTATTAGGAACCACCATCTGCAAATTGATATTCCGATGTGCATGAATGAAAACTGCATATACAATATGATGACGTGCAAATACGCAATATGTGCATGTCGAAGAAGATCAGTGTAATAGTGAATATTGTCGAACGTTTGGAGAAGATATCGTTTGCATCTTTCCCCGAAATATACCAATACATTGTAATGTATTACGCTCTCACACGCAAACAAACGATAAATGCAACTGAAAATTTTTTGGAAAAACCCGCGGGAATATTTCCCACCTTTCCGACTTACGTAAGGTTGAATGAATGAGAAATGAAAAGAAAGAGGGAAAGGTAATATCGTGTAGTTATAGAGAAAAAAAGTAGCAAGCAACATGAGAATGCACGATAAAAAATATGTTAGGGTGAGAAAGAAAGAAGAGTGTGTAGCATACAGTATGGAAGAATTCTCGAAAATATTCAAGAGATTTGCTTTGAGGAAATTTCGAGAGTGTTTTCTTTTCCTCTCATTTTGGGCGAAAGTTTCTGAAGGTTGATTAAAGGAAAGAGAAGTTTCATATTAGAATATTAGAAATTTTAACATTTCTATACACATTCCGTATTGCGCTTAATATTTGTAAAATTTTAATATATCTATTACAATTATCATAATCCGTTCGTGCTCATAAATTTTTGTTTTAGCGATAATTTGTTAATAAACAGCAGTTTAAATAATATAAAATAATTATGAATTCCAGAGTTACAACTTCAACTGTATGTTTTATCTATTCGTAACAAAAAGAAAAAATCAAACAGATCAAATGTACTTCTTGCAGTAACCTTTCTGATCAATTTTAGTACAAAAGAAAAAATGGAAATAAAATATCCTTATAAAGACGTGAATAAATAAAGTATAATTATTTTGACGAACACAATTTTTCGACTCATTTCTTATCATTTCTGCGTTTTATAACATATATAACTTAATGACAGGAATGTAACGCATTTACTTGTGCAGTTTGCTCTTTTTCTCGAGAGAATTTTAATAAATTTTGCAAATGTGGAATGATGATGTGGTAGTAAATTGTGTCGAAGTTTACATATGTCATGCATAAGAAGTAAATATGAATTTATGTGAGCTTTTATTGGTAATACACTAATCATCGTAATATAGTAGTTGACTAATTGATGTAAACACTCGAAAAATAAAAACAAAAAGTATTTGTTGAGTAATGTTTGCAAAATTTCAGTGCATTGTAAATGTTCGGTGCTGGGCAGCAAGCACCATCAACATCCCAACCAACAGGTGTTAATATCGCTATAGAAGCTGGCTCCGAGTGGGGAATCCAGGAAATTGGTTTTGATGGAGTTGAAAAATATATGCGGTATTTATTCTATTATTTCATGCTTTGAAACTTTTTTGATAAATTGCAAGTATTAATTTTTGTCAGTGAATTATTTCATGGCTGACTGATTGATTTATCGATAGATAGAATTCATGGATTGTATTTCCGGAAAGTTATCATCATATAAGTTCCAAATCTTGCAGTTGTGTTGATTAGTATTTAATGATGATATAAGCTGAGACTAGCTGGTAGTATTTCACAATGAAGGAAGGCAATTCATCGAAACGAATTTGACCTTTTTTCATATTTCCATTGCACACTTAACCATTATTAATGCTTGGATGTTGCTGGCGGAGTAAAAGGATGAAATCGAAGGCTGTAAATTAAGTGAAGTGAACTTTAAATGGATTTCGAACTTCTTTAACCACTTCGATTTTAGAATTTAATCTGTCATCAACACATACTGATTTGAGAGAATTTTGAATTTGATTTAGTGCGGATGTCAGATACTAGTCAATTCATTTTATATATAAAATTGTTCCAGACCATTAGACTATTCTGATCATGTAGCAAAATTAGCTCGTAAAGTGGATTGGCGAAAACTAATCGGTGCAGAAGCCACGTACGATAATCCAGACGCATTACCACGTGATGATGGAGAAGAGCTAGAAGAAAAGGAACCGGAAGAAGTGGTCGTTGGCATGGAAGATCGTAAGACCCCAGAAGCTGGGCCGTGGCATACTGTTGCAAAATACTTACAGTAAGTAAAAATTCCGAGTAGTTGTATCAAGAACTGTAGAAACTTATGGGTTCTGGAAAAGTCAGTAGGTTTTAATTTTGCTTTTATTTTGTAGCTCTTTCTCTTGTATTATGTAAATATTACATTATAGATTTATTATCGAAAATTAACCTAGTCTTCGCACACGTTATTACGACAGCTCAGATTTTGTTGTAATATGGTAGAATGAAGAGCACGTTTTATTTCTTTATAGCACATTATTAATAATTTTTACGAAATTATGTCTTTATATTTTTGCAGCGAAGCACTACAGCAAGTAAATGTCCTGGTAGATACGATTTCGGTATTAAAAACACCATACATGGAAGCACTGACAGTTGCAGATGCATTTGAAGTTCAGCACAACATGCAGGATGTGATACAGCAATCCAAACAGTTCCAATGGGTTACGCGGCGTAAAGCTCTTGGTGAAGCAATCGGTGTTTTAGAGCAAGCTCAAAAATTTCGCTCAAAACTTCTTACCGAAACTGATCCTGATAAAGCCATGTTTTTTCGTGAGCTGGAAAAAATGAGAGAGTTGTGGAGAGTAAGGAAAACAGGAAATGTTACTTATGGCGATCTCGGTTATAAAATGTGTTAGTAATATGAATCAGCTTTGAGAGAATATATTTCATTTTAGAATACATTACACGTTCATTTTAGAATACATTACACGTGCGGAGCCCTTTCCAGTATTTATTTACAGTTGGATCGAAATATAACCCAAAAGAATTATTTGATATCACTCGACGTACCACAACGCCTGCTGGCGATGATGGAAGCTCTTCAACAAAATCCGATTCCTATTTACAAGTTCAAGTACCATGTGATTTGATTCGTCGCTCTACCATTGCTGTTTCTATTGAAATTGGTTAGTTCATACTCTTCTCTGATAGCAAGTTTTGTCTCTAGAAATCATTTTTTTTAATCTAGTTAGAATTTTCTCCGTCTTTGTAGTTGTAATTTTGATTGTCTCTGATTTTTCTTGGCGACTAAATTCAGGATCTAATCAATCAGTACTAAGATTTTGATTTAAAGCATCTGGACATGTTCCAGTCATCGATAACTTACACATATGTGGATGGATTAAATGAAATAATGAAAAGGTGTTGTCTAATCTAGTAGACTACCGTTTTTCAAGAACCTCAGTGACAAGTGCACTATGATATTTTTAAGACATCAGCAACTTAAGCAGGGCAAGAACTGAGTTTGGAGTGATGAATTTCATAAAAATATAATTACCCTGTCGAAATCCTTCGTTTAATTGATCGATGATTTAGATAATGACGATCCGAAAACTTTGTTTACAACTGCCGAAAATGACTTAGATTATATGAAAGTTGACAGAGAGCAAGCAATGGCAATACATTGGTCAAAAGCATTACAGTGGGCACAAGAAAGTTTGTTGTGCAGAGATATCTTTAAGCAGGTTTGTTTGAAATTTCATAAAAATTTAAAATTTTTTTGGCAGTTTAGATCATAATGGACCAGATAGATTTTCGTAACTTCAGTGGTTTATCGTTTCTTAACTTTATTGCTCTGTCAATGTTAAATAATGTTATTTTGTAGAAATCTTCAAAATACTGAATATAATAAATGTCTAAGAATAAGTTGAATAGCAAACTCCAGACTGTTTTTCTCCATCTTTTTAGCTGTAAATTAGGAGAGTATGTTTCAGTTATGTAAAGACGCAATTATTCTGAAGGATCATATAACAGTAATTCGTGATGGTGTATTAATCGCTTCATTATTCGATAACATTTTGTTGCGAGTAGAATTGGCATTTCACCCATTTGAAGATGGTAAAGATATGCATATTTCTAAACAAATGGTACTTTGAAATGAGTATAAGTTTTAGTTTTACAATATTTTTTTTCGATTTTTTTTGTTGAATCCAGGACTGGCATATTGCGAAAAACTTGCAAAGAAGTTAATTTTACTGGTTTAGGTCCTTTACCAATCGCAGGCGATGATTATTTGAACCGCGCCCTTCGTCAATTATTTGTAAGTGATCTTTGCGCACGGAATATACGTCACCAGACATTCGTAGCTATGCCATTATCAGCATTACCGAGCACGCTTGATTTACGAGGACCGTATGCTATGACTGATGAAGAGGTATGATTTGAATTATAGAAGAAAAGGATTATGTACATGTAGTTTGGCGTTAACAGTTGATTTGTTTCAAGACATACGTTTGAGTGGCAATTTTGCTTTTCTTTCAATTTTAATTTCATTTAAAATTTCGGCTTATTTCTCATATCTAAGCGCTCAACTAAATATCGTGAGATGTGACAGAATAGAAATTTTAAACTTAGAGGACAGTATCATATATTGATTGACAAAGGTTAAACTTGCTCTGAAACGTTACTGGTGCTATGAATTCAAGAAAACAATTAATGGGTTGTTATGATTTGCATACCTGTGGGCACATAAATAGCACTGTCTTCAAACAAGCTAGATTTATAATGTAGTTTTTATCAGTATTGACAAATATGTAATTTATTCAACTTTCAGATTGAATCACGTTTAAGGCAAAAACGTACTTTGTTGGAAAGACTGCTCTTATTGGCATCTCATTTCGTTCTAACAAATCGGGTTATGACTTCATTAAAGCGATATTTGCTTCGTGTTACGGATCCTCAGGTATTTCTATGCTGAAAAAGAGAAACACTTTGAAGCTTTCGAAATTATTTAAAATCGTTTGCTAGAGCTATTTCAGACAAGATTATTTTAGGTCATGTGGAAATGGCTACGTGCTACACCCGTTCAATCGTCGATTATTGTTACAGCATCCAATAGGAATTACGATTATGCCGGAAAGTGCGTATCTGGTTTGGAAACTTGCTTAATATTTGCCTCAACAAATCTGTGAAACTTCACATATCACTCATTCAAACTATTTACTGAGTCTTACCGTTCTTTCTCACATAGATGGTTTTAGACATTTTAGACTGAGTATTTTAAGGACAACATTTTATATACGAATTGGTGCAGAGAATTTTTATATTGCAACAAAGGAAGGCCAAAATATCGAGTGTAGAAGAGATGATGAAATGCTCATTTATACTATTGACATGCTGGTAACGTTGGATTTTGATTTTCTCATAAGGAAAATAAAATTTAAACTTGTTTAGACTGGATATAAGTTGCAGAAGTTGCATTTTAAACTGGAGAAAAAGAAGTTTGAAAAACCATTTATTCACCCTAGACAGAGAATTGCAGTAAAATATTTTTGAAAATATGCGAAGCGAAAATCAACTCCTTATGTTTCACATTATTTGCAAAGTTGATCTTCCTGCTATGATTTTTAAATACATGTAAATTCAGATTTGCAATTACATGTTGAATACAGTGGCGATGATAGCCAGTAAACTGTGGCAGTGGCAAGTACTTCATGCAAATATTAATGCAACGGATGATCGAGCGGAACCGGGTCCCACCGTTTACATGTGCAATCAGAGTGCTACTCGGTACGTTTTGTTTATTTTTTAAGAAAACTATTATTTAAAGGGAAGACTTTCTTTTCTTTCAAATTATAGCGTTCTTAAATTAAATGCATTACTAGTTACCATTGAAAAAAGATTCGATATACACCATACCTAATAAAGTATTTTTAAAGTGCATTACTCTATGTAGTATATAGTGGACAACAGTAGTACAAGCACACTTTAACTTCGCTTATCGAAATTGCATTTGTTTTCAAGATTTCAATTTTTTGCGACGTTTATCAGGAAGAGACTTGCCATTTACTTGAGTTTAAATAATGAAATAGGGTATTTCAGTGCAATTTTCATGCAATTTCATTTAAATGAACCCCCAACAATTCGCGTTCGAAAGTGCGTACCAAATAAACCAGCAGCTGCCGAAAAACCAGGAGAATTTCTGGTTCTAAATTACGATCGATTGGTAGGATCGTCGCTATGCCGAAAAATAGATAATTTGTGTTCCATGTTAAGGAGTTGATTTTATTTGGTTGCTTTTGTCATTGCGATCAGTTTGACAATGTTATACTCGATATCTATCGTATAGGTTGAAAATTTATGTTACCTTATGGTAAGAGGGAATGTGGAAGGAATCAGAGAAGAGCGGAGTTACTTTGAATAAGATTTTTATTTTGTACTGGAAGAATTTTATGTTGAATGTAATAAATAGCTTGTATATTTCTATGCAGAGTAATGTACTTTTTCTCGTTCTGTTACTAAAAAGATGATCATATGTTGACGTACTTTTGAAGTGAAATTCATGTAAACTGGAAAATAAAAGAATGCAGAACCATTCATATCAATTTTCTTTTCTAAGAAACTGCAAAAAATATGCTTGCGGTGACACTGATCTGATTATTCAAAGTGTGGAAACGAGAAAGCCGTGATGCAGAATCGATACAGCTGGGAAATCATCCAAGCGTATCTTCAAAATAGATTTCTTAACGAAAGTAGTACCCTTTTGTTTGATAACCTTTTAGCAACACGAAACAATTTATACAATTACTGCAAGGAAGCAGGAGAGAAAAAGCATTTGCCACATAAAACATTTTTGTTAGCAAACAAATAAAGTGACCAAAATAGGCGAAAGAAGGAAATCTCTAAATTTTCAATTTTGTTTTATGGTTTGTCCTATGATAATTGCCATTTAAACGAGCTCAAAAAACGACACTCCAAAAAAAGATCCAAGCCTGGGAAAGGAAGGAAAGCACCAATTTTTAATCGGTTGTTATGCAATTATATTCTTTTTCCTCAAACGGCATGTTTTAACAAGAAATGGAGATTACGACACCAAGAGATCAACTAATACCCGACGTAATATAATCGAATTTCCAACGGAATACCCGGAGAAAATTTGGCTATTTAATTCAGATTTGCATCGTAATGGCTTCTAATTTTTACTGCTGGTGCTAAGGCATATACAACCTAGGACGATCGTTTCCAACAAAGCCACGAAAATAAGTCCTTTTCATTCATTATTAATTCTTAAAATAATTGCAAATAAATTCAAAATAAATAATTCACTAACTTGAAAATCTATAAAAATTTTCAATTTACAACTGAAATTCTTCCTCTTCCTACTTGTACCTTGTTTTTTCATTATAAAGTTCACTTTAACTCCAAATTTCCATTAAAGTGAAGCTTACTACATCTTTCTAACCTTTCCACATTCTTTATCATGATAGAACTGGAGAAGTTTTTAAAAAAGAACAGCTAATTAGAAGCCATAAAAGCAATAAAACATCACATCCCCAATTATCCAGTTTGAAAACATAACCATGACCACAACTGCATGTGGTTCTTATAAACAGTCATGAACTTTTTTGACCACCTAATGGATTGCGCTTAGCTGCTGCAAGCTTACTTTGATAGGCACTACACGGTCGTCGACTTGGAGAGGTCGACAGTGCTGTGACTGATGCAGTGGGACTAGAACCAGATGGTGATGCTGGCAACGATGCAGATGAAACCTAAAATTAGTTGAATGGCTATCAAATATTTGTATAACAAATTTCGTCCTGAACTATCCATAATAATTGGTAATTTTTTTAAGTCAAAACAGAAGGAATTCCCAATAATAGTGTGAATTTCAAGAATTAAATTTAGCAAAAAATCCATCCAAACTTTAGCAAAATATTCACCTCTAAATACTTTTGTATTGCATCAAATGCTGCCGATAACCGATCCAACTGATCGGTTACTGTTCCCATACAATCTTTCACCGGCTTAATAGCCATTTTCAATAAATTTTCTACTGATTCTGATAAATGTCCTTGATGAGAATTCCTAAAGGTATGAAAATAAATGCTAACTGAGCCATTAATGGACAAAATGGCATAACAGCACACGAAAAAATTCTCAGTAGATAAAATTTGGATGATTTTAACAATTTCGATTAATAAGTAGAATGATCCTATCCGTATTATAAGTGCATCTGAAGAAACGATTAATAGCCAATGACTAAACTTCTGGCAATTAAAATTTATACATTGTCATCCACTCACCTACTCTGTTAAACTTTTTAGTGCCTAATGTCCTTGTTGTTTCGGACAAAAATAAGTGATGTTGAGTGCCTCATATATTTAATATAAATGGTTTGTGTTGCAGTTAAGCTATCAAGCAGCGAAGATATCTTCTATAACCAAATAAAGCAAAGAAACAAATAATATCACTTTAAAACAAAGCAAAATCATTTGTTTACCTTATTAATTCAATGCTCCGATTGCATTTCATTGTAAGCTGCTGTACAGCATTTTCAAGACCATCTATACGAGTCTGAAATTCTTCTATAAAATTTCTGAATACTAATTTTCTTTTCTTCTAAACTCCTTCGTCCTAACAATACCCACCAAAAAAAATTACCCAGAAAAACAATATACATATTTGCTTCGGAAATTCGAAAAATTATTCTAAACAATATTTGCAGTGATGCACTAACTTGATCATGAGTAGCTTCAACAAAACGTAATTTATTCAAATCTCTCGTAACACCTTTTGAATAATTGACAAGAATTGTTTCTGCTCCACAAACAGCATTACCTACTGATAAGTCATCTTGAGACCGATTGTGGCGAGTTTTACTTGAATTCCGAACGATCTGCAAGACCAAGAAGCAAAGTCTGAAGTGAATACTTTAAAATTAAGTGATAAGAAAACTGAAAGAATTTCAGTGCATACACAACAGAACTCAAAATGAATAGACCTTTATATGTTAAAGTAATAAGAAATGTATAATCTACCAATTATGCAAATGATGCCGGTTCTCATAATATGGTTTTCATGAATAAACAAATTACTTCATGAAAACCCTATTATAAATAAAAATTGAGTGAATATAACAATACACACGGTATTCAAATTTGAAAATGATTTAATAAAAATAACTCACCGGTGACACATTGGTAAAAGGTCGAGTCCCTTGATGAAACGATATTGAACGATTTGACGCAAATTTGTCAGCTCTGAAATACAAATTAACTTTGTTAGGTTGTTCACTTAGGAAAACAAATATGCTTCCAACAGATAAAAAATCATAACAATAACAACAAACAATCTACAGATTTTTCAGACAGAATTTAAAACTTGTTTAGCAAAATTTTGTTTGATCCCAGAAAATAATTTAGAAAATATCAGAAATTAGAAAAAAATAAACCACTAGCAAAAAAACGAGTTCTACCACAGATACAGTAACATTTAACGACAACTGATATACAACAAAGCAACGATAACCATGCATCAGTTAACAGAAATTAAACGCAATGACAATAAAATTTCGAAAAAGCTTACTCTTTTTGACAATTCTGACATTCATGGGAGATATTTTGTAAGCTAACATAAAGACAATTTTTAAACTTTTGCTGGAAAAATAAATTTCAAAAACTATTGAAAGTTTTACGCGGTTAATAACAAAACAATTTGTGGTAGTTTTTGACCATCATAATCTGCTTTCTAATTGACCATGTAAAAAAATTCAGATTCAGATGCCAAATAAAATCATGGGTTGGATTTTTCAGTAAATACTCAATAATGCTAGTTATCAAAGTATTTTATTTAAACTTCCTTGCCATTAACAGTTTTCTCTTCTCCTGGCTTAATTAGAAATCTACAGAAATCAAAGGTTTAAAATCTTCAGTGCTGCAATGTTTTGAGTAAAAATTTGAATTGAAACAAAAATTAGTGCCTAAAATAAAACAGTAAAATACAGGCATTTCAAAAAAATTAAAATTTACCGTGTTTTCAACTGCTGCAATTTCTTCGCTTCAGCTGCCGCTTTCATCGGATTATAATCCTTACGTCTTAACCAAGCCGTCATTTCAGCACTTTCCTTATGTGCTTTTGTCCCACTTGCCTGAAACGGTTAACCAACAATCTTTAAAGAAAGTTGATTTCGTTTTATAAGGAATTACGTAAATCACAGGGCAAGTTTAAAGCAAACGATTACCTGATTTCTTCCACTGCCTCCAACACGAAATGGTGGTCTATCATTCCGACTGACTGCAGCGGAAGTTGCATGATTTTTGTTATTAATACCAGAAAAACGCATTGAATATCGACCACCATCACCACGTCTAAAATTTCAAAAAATGCAACAATAAAATTTAATCAATACAACAAATTAAGGAATTTTAAGAAAAAATTTAAAGTGGCTCTCTTTTTTCGTGCTGATTTTTAATGAGATACCTGTTCCCCAATGAATTTGACGAAAATTCAGAATGTTAATGGTACTTATACATATTAATTATGTTTCTATATATGGAAAAACTGTTAATGGGAAAAAACTATGAGGAAATACAAAAATAATTTTACTGCCCATTCCGATAAACGAAAAATTCCGATAAACGAAAAATAGTCTAAGAACTTTCTTAAATTTAAGTAAAATTATTATCACAAAATCTATTATATGAAAAAGTGTAACATGTTTTTTTTATCATGTAACAGACGATTGAATAAAACTGTTGTCTGATAACAACAGTAAATGAAAATGTTGGCTTGTTGCATAACAAACGATAAATGAAAATTACATGTGAAATTATAGATACATAAGAATGATGGCATAAAATTTGAAAAACTCTCTTAAACAGGCGTCTTTCTGAAATGTGCCCATCCACTCTTAAAAGAAATATCTATTTTCTTCCTCTAATTTTTTCTTTTTGAATTTAAACGTATGATAAAAGCAATAGCTTAATATAAATAAAAAGACTAATAAGGACGATCTAATATTCAATAAATAAGCGATAACTTTTGATAACTACTAACTAATACCAACACCACTCAAGCATAATTTTTTTTAAAGCTTAGCTTTAAAAATTGAACATATCAAATTAGTAAAAAATATGTACTTGCATGCAAACGAAAAAATAAATAACAATGCAATACAAAAAATACTCACGTTTCACTGCGACATCTCACTGTCCTGCTTTAAAGTGAGATACATAAATCAATTATTTTATTTAATAGAAAGGAAAAAATGAATTAGAAAATTAATATTACATTTTTTTCTGGATACAGTACACTAGAAAAAAATTGCGAAAATTTATTACAAATTGATGGAACGAAAACGTAACAGCATATCCAAAAGAAAAACGATATTTATAATATCATAATGTCATTTCAGTATTTCAGTACTACCATAACGTTTCTGTTTTAATGCCGTTCCAAAATTTCATCTAATGATATTAAAAAAGCTTTATAAAATTTTCTGTCAGCTGTGGCGAAAAGTGCAAATGATAAGGAGG